GTCAAATAGTAGCAAATGTAGGTGAAATGCAATGTTTTCATCACAATGGAGGGACCCTGTGAATTGGATCTTGTCACGTAAATTCAATACTCGTAATCATGCAATAACATTTTTTTTCCCCTCATTTTCGTATTGATTGTTACTCTAACTTCAAATCATGAGTCGTTTGAATCTTGCAAAACTTTGTCATATATCTTCACGGCCGAATCCTACAGTACAGTTAATTCACACATGTACACGCAGACGCTTGATCATATAATGCAAAAGGTTACTATTCTCAGCAATCATCCACACAGATCGATTTAGATAGATATATTATTGGAGGTGGACAAGGAGGACATTGAGGTTGGAAAGAAAAAAAGAGTGTTTTTTTTTACATCTATAGTTTAGTGTCTTGACCATCATGAAGCAAGCAAGCCTTCAAAGTTCAAAGCACCGAAAGAAGCAATGCAGAGAGCTGCATGAGTGGCTGTGTCCCAATAAGACACCATCTAGGCTGAACCCCTAATGCCACAAGTCCGAAAGAGTTAAATTAATCCATGTGGAAATGGACCACTTCTGGCTTCTTCTTCTCTTGTTTCTATCGCAATGTATTGGCCTCTCGATTCTCAATATTAAATCCTCTCACAAGAATAAAAAATCAAAAGATATAGACTCTGCATGATTGATTTCTCCTTCCTTTCATTCCAGGCTAAATTTCAATTACCCCCCTCTCATTAGAGGTAAGTAACAAATCACCCTTTACGTTGATGAAACCTACCTACAAACTATCCTCATGACTAACGATCAAAGTAATCTAACCAGCAAAAAGGTAATCATGTACTCTTTATTACAAGAAATTTATCACATAATCCCTTTTTTCTTCATTTTCTTTGTTAGATTTAAATTTATATTCAAGTCAGAGGTAATTGCTGTAGGGATGGGGGGTTTTGGGAGGGGGGGCGTGTTTGGGAGGTGGACAAAACCACATTCTTTTAGCATGAAAGCGCCCACTGTGCTCCCATCTGTAGTCACTTTCTCACAACGAATAATTGCGGGCACAATTGACAGAAACAATTGAGAAATGAGTTCAAGTGATGATGCCCACCAAAGCCTTCCAAAGTTCTAAGCTCATCGAAACCCCTTCCAGGCTTTCCACTTCCTTTGCATCTATGCCAAAGGGTCGCATGGGAGGGGAAGAAATATTGACACGCGTAGACCTATCATTTAATTGCCTTTCTGACCCATTTAATTTACGTAAATTATGATTCCACCCAGTTACTCGTTAGTCAGCTGTTCTTATCAACTCTGACTCACCTTACCTACCAAAACTACGCATCAATTCACCCAGATGTATCTACAAACGGGCGAGCATGTATGCTTGGCGGGTGATAAGATTAGACTCCAAAACTGGGAGATATATCATCCATTGCAAAGCCAATCATCCATTCAAGCGTACGTAACGAAGGAGATATGAATTATCTTAGTCAGATATTGGCATTGAACGTCTATTGCATCCCAAGTACAAGAAGATATATATATATACACACACAAACATACATATATACATGCATATAGCAGTTGATCTGAATCTTGAAACAATTTTTACGTTCCTCTCTTTCTTTCTTTTTTGAAGATATATCGGTTAAATTTTTTAGCAGTGATGATGTATGCATGTTAGTCCAAGTCCATACTGGAAGTAAGTATACGAGTACTACATAGGAAGAATCTATATGCCTAGGGAGGGGTAGGCGGGCGGACCACTTTGATGGGGATTTTTGATGATTAGAAAAGAATCACAGGGAGTGGGGACTGGGGGGTTTGAAAGGGGAGGGAGGTCATGGTCGTTGTGGAGGTGGTGGTGGTGGTGGTGGTTGCCTCATGGGCTGGGATGGTGGTGGTGGTGGGTTGAAGATAAGAAAATGCACGTGGGGGTGGATAAGGCTGCCATTTTGACTGATCACATTGTGTCGGGGTTGGCTCCATCACTCCATTTCTTGAGCTCACCTCAATTTTGGCTTAGCTGAGAGACGAGATGAGATGGCAATTGTTATGTGGCCGACAGCAGAATATTAGATTAGCGATTCAGCTCCTGTGCAGCCTGACAATCTTTGCCCCACTTCAGTTTTGGACTTTTAACTGTTTCAACTCCTTCACCCCATTTGCCATTCTTTATTTTTTCTTGTACAGCACTTTTGTTTGTTCACCTTTTCTTTCTGTACATGATCTTTTTTCTTTTGAAGGGGAAAGAAGAAAAGAACAGTTTTAGTAACATCATCACAGATCAGATCATGTTGATGCCGCAAGAATGGCAAACGCAGTAAGCTTCGCGCTGTAAGTTTGATTCCAGATGAATTTAAACATAAAAGTTGACGTTTTAATCATAAATCTCACAAGCCCTTCAAGAAACATGAAACATCAACCATCTTACATCAAAATTTGATTCGGCATTTAATTGATTTGGCATCCAATAAACAGAAGATGAACGATATTTCTTATGTTGTATGTTTTTAGATGGCACGTTTCTTGATAATATATAGAGCACTAGTATAATAACTCTCTTTTTATTTAAAAATAAAAGAGTGTAAATGCGAGATTTTGAATTCGAACCCTTTCACTTACGCTATTTTAAAAGATTAATTTTTTTTAATTTATAAATATCAAGTTTTTAATAGTAAATTTGCAGATTGAAATTTAGACTTTGTGTATAATGTTACTAAAAATTAAACAAACAGGACAATTGATATCCATTATTTTTAGTTCGTCACTATCACCTAAGTTTTAATTCAACTAGAACAACTAATTAATGTGGCACCTCACGATCACTAAAATACAAATATTTTGTTCCTTTTTATCCTATCTTGTTTTTTTCCGCAGCTTGGTTCTGGCACTAGTTTTTCTTTTTGTTGTTAAGCGCCTGTTGGCCCAACTCTAGCTGAATAATTGGGAGAAAATGGAAAAAGAAAAAGAGAATAATGAATACCTTCCAAGAAGATTATTCTAGGGAAAAGGAAAAATAAATAGCACAAGGATGAATGAGAATGACTTGAATTCTGTGATTAATTCCAAGAATGTTTATAAGCTTATAACGGTGTCCAAATTTTTGGTTGAGGAGAATTCCATACAAGACACTATTAAGTTTATGTTTTGCACTTTTCTTAATTTGTTGTTTTCTTTTTCTTTATTTCTTTTCTTTGTTGTTTTTTTAGGGGGTCATTGGAGAAAAAAGTAGCATCTTTATTGCACACTTATTCTACTTTCTGAAAATTTCAGAAACTTTACTAAATTCAAGTTTCTACTTCCTAAGACTAACTATATTGATTTCTTGAGCTAGATGCAAAAAGAAATCATTTCAACTTTAGGGGGAGAAAAATAGACGTACAAGATGAGCAGTATAAATTAATTTCTGGGGACACGCTGAACATTATAGTCCTATGACCCCATTATTGTTTTCCAAAAAAAAAAAAAAAGAGTTCAGCATATATAGTTTGAAGTGTTAATATCTGACTGTTTATCCTAATTAATTTTGTGTGCTATTATTTCAATTCTACTACTACTACTACTACTTAATAATTCAGTTTATATAATATGCATGGCACATGTAAATATTAGGTTGGAGTCCCTTACCACAATTGTTAATGAAATGAAGGTTTGACTCCAATGTCCCTTGGATAGGATAATCATTAATCACAGGATTTAACATAATTGGCATAAGAGTCAGTGGCGTTGTCTGGTTGGGCCAACATCTCTTTCTTCGACTACAATACTTTGAAATTCACTAATGCAGGTTTGGTTGAAGACAAGATGATCAAGACAATACCTTGTCACAAACTAACTAATCTCCAACTTAATTATTAAAGCTTAATTAGCTAAATTTTCATGTTTGTAGCTACCAAACCCTCAATTATCAAAAGCAGACAAAAGAAACAGATGAAATATATCAATTAGTGTCTTAAGTCAATTTCTTGCTGCACCTGCAATTCACAAGACGACAATCAAAATCGTTAATTAAGCATGTAACAATTAAGTAATAACATACTTTGCAATATATAAGATACTCTGTGTCTTTTTTGGACCTGCTTTCCTGAGAGTACAAAAAGTTTGTAAATAGTTTGACTGGATTGGAAACTAGGAAAGTAAGATCACAACATTTATCACTTTAAATGATTATAGGGCCTACATGATAATCAGAAAGTGTTAAAACAGCAGGAAATAATACTACTATTTCTAGGTTTTTGCTAATAATTCGCTCAAAATCTATATATAAAGAAAAAAGGTTTAGTCATTGTTCTGCTAATTAAAGATAATCTATATTTTTTTTTCCCTTACTTGTTTGCACCAGTCAAGAGTTTAATTCAAGTTTATGCGCAGAAATAAAGAGCATAAATCTACTAGAAATATCAACTACTTTCTTTTCTGAAAAAAAAAAGCCTGCAAAATTAAGTGTAATATGTATGGTATCTGCTATAAACCTGACTGGCTAAGCCTAATAAAACGAATACAAAATTTTTCCACCCTGTTTTCTCTGGTACTTGTTGGATGGCTTAGGTAGCTTCTAAATTTGGACGACAGGTAAGTACTAGTACTACTTCTTGCGGGAAAGAAAACAATCCAATGCCAATACCAAAATAAAACGAAATAAAAAAGTCTTCCAAAGATCTGGATTTTTGAATTTTAATTTCTGGGAAGAAACTTGGAAGTCCTGCTCATCTGATTCTGAATCTGGGGATCCAGATATTCGAATAATTCAGGTACGAAAATACAAGTAGAAAAATCTGCAAATTGAAGTTGATATGAACTTTGAGCTAGCACTAAAGAATCCGATCATACATCTTCCCAATTTGGTCATCACCAGTTCCCTATTGCTTAAATATCCAAGCATTCATTATCTTCATTGTTTTTTGTGTACGTTGAGGACTGCGATGAATGTGAACTATTGTGAGGATAATAAACTAGTCAACCTCCATGAGGACTGATGAAAGAAATGATCAAATAAAGATGATTAGCCGATCACCAGAAGGTAAAGATTAATGTGAATTAGACTTCAGCTACCCAATTTTGTGAGCATGTCCTCATCCTACAATAGCTTGATTAAGTTTGGCTGATGAACTAGTCCTCCATCTTCAAAAATCCACAGCAGAAATGATAACACATAATATCAAAGGAGAGAAAATGAAAAGAATTACTAAGACTCAATGAATTGATAAAGATGATTTTTTCAATCCATTAAGCTATCCGACTGTATACACATGAAGGCTCATAAAGCCAATTAATAATTAGTACAAAATTGTTAACTTCTTTCTCACTAATCTCGGCCTTTGCTATTTACACTCCCCAAGATGATCAAAGAAGAAGAAGAAGAAAAAAACAAGCATCCCTTCTTATTGAAGGCTAGATAGAACTAGAAAGATACTCTTCATTCATGCCAGCAAAGCAGCATGACCACACATCTTCTGATTATGTAAAGCCTAGCCCTTTGCTCTCTTAGGACCCCTCCTAGTCCTCTGCTTGAAATTCTTCTCTTGGAGCTTCCCATGTTTGTGCTGCTCATCTTCATCTTCTCTACAATAGATTGCAAGAAGTGTTCTTTTTTCTTCTTTGTGCTTTGGTGCAGGTAAACTCACAAGTGATGAATGAAGAAGTTGCTGAAATTGAAGTGATGAACAAAGAGCAAGAAGGGCTCTTTATATAAGGAGTTTCAAGTGTGGTCCAAACTTGCCTTGGTCGAGTAAAGAGCCAACTATGGGGCATCAAGGTGTGTGCAGTGCCCCCTAGCTCACCAGACAGTACCATAAGGGTCCCATACCCACTTGGGATTCCATGCTATAAACCCCCAACATGGAGGAAAAAAAAATAAAGATTAAAATTATTCAAACACTAGTGAGTAAATAAATACCGCTACTAATGCATATTTGTACAAGTGTAGATTCAATGCCATAGTGCCATGTCATTCTCTATATACAACTCTGGTTATCATGCATCACCTACCAACATAAGGGGTCAGCCATTACTTCAATAAGGTAGCACAATTCCTTAGTTTATGAGCTGCCTTGCAATAGTGTTGATGATGAGGTGATAATTTTGGTCAAAGTGACCCTTCTCCTGCATATTTCTGGTACACTCATTTAAGTTCATGTCTTATTTGAGTCGGATCCACCTAAACAGACAAAGTGAGGGTCTCAGTTGGATCCTACTAAAAAATGCCCATTTTAACTAACGTACATGTAAAGTAAAGCACCACCTAATAGCCTACTATAATGAATTATCCCAATCTAATCCAGCAAAATTTCCATCAGCATTATTCATATGGGACAATAGGTGTGATAATGGGGTGCGGTTGCAACTTCAAGTCAACAGTTCCAGTAGTTGCTTTGTATAATTGGGAGTTACGGAGACAGTATGTATGACAATGGGTGCAAGTGGAGGCTTCAAGGCAACATTTTTTCCAGGAATTCTGCCTTCTGTATCATTAGTGGTCACTATAGTGATCACTGATATACAAAGTGTTATATTCAAAGTTTTGATTTCCATTTTTCTTTTTTCTTGAAGCACTAAACTTACAGTTGGCATGCCATGCAAACAATAAAAGTTTGAATTGACCCAAGAACGAATTAATTTTATTGAGATTTTTTTTTTGTAATAATATCTTTAACAGGAGAAATCATATCTGGTTCAGTCATCTTAGGTTGACTACCACAACGAGTATCTGTAAATTTGGATTGGCATTAAAGTATTTACCCTACTAAGCTAAGGTATCAAAAAAACATCCTGAATGAGAAATTTAAAGAACTTGCTGAATGAAGATGCCTTGTCACCGTTTTACTTTGCAGGATCGTCTTCAACAATTCCAATGGAAATCACTCTGCTCAAAGTAAATGGCATTGAATTTTTTTGTAGGAAACATTTTGTCATAATTTGTCAAAATAAATTGAAGGCAAAGAACCCATAAAAAGTATTGTGCTAGAAAATTCTGAAAATGACATTGAAAACCAAAAGGGATCAAAGAAAGATATGCTTGAGAGAATTAAATTGCAAAAATGGAAGCAAGTTTCAACATCGTATGCCCTGCATATTTTGGCTTAATTACGAGAATTTTTACGCTACTTGTGGGAATCGATCAAAATAACGGTCAAACTAAGCCTCACGTGAGCCTTCAATTACCCCGCCATATTCTCTTTTATTGCACCAACATTTAAGAACCCAAGAAACCACATTTCCAAGCAATGACCATAGCTGAATTTTCTACTACTCCTTTCTTGCTGAAATCTAGTGGGGAAACAGCACAAAATTCGATTAAGTGAATGATTAATTTAATCTTGATGATCAGGTTACCAAGCAAAGCCAACCCACTTGCTTGATCTCGTGTTCCTCCCATTTCACTAAGGACACCAGCTTTCAGTAACCTAAAGTTCTAATAAACTATTGATTTAAGATTTTTTTTACTTTCTTGTTTTGGGGGTTCTTTCTTTTGAGCAGTTTTGAAGCTGCCATTCTCAGTTTCTGAGCTCACGTATGTCTATAGTTAGCTGTCTTCAATTCAAACTCATCACTCGAAATAAATAAAGGTATTAAGCAACAACATAATGTAACGCATGACACTTCATTATATAAAGTAATTACATAACGTAATGTAACAGTTCACACTCCAACTCCTTGACTTGGACATTAAGTTTTATTGGTTTTTCTAGTCAGCTTGAACTAAGTGTAATACATGGTTTTTCTTTCTCTCTTTTTTTTTTTTTTTGCTCTTTCCTTTAGTTTTTTTTGGAGATATTAGGCTATGCCATAGAAAAACGTTTCTTCTACTGATGAGTTTGAATGCATGATAGCAATTACATAGTGAAGAATTTTTCCTTTCATATCTTATGTTAAGCGTGTAGATGGACCTAACTTATGGGGAATTCGTCCGCCATGATGGATTTTCATTATGTCTGAGTCAAGGTTAAATCATGATACATTGAGTCCAAGCTCCATAGCTCATGATAAAGCAATGTGCAGGTCCTTAAAATAGATGCAGGATGACTCAGTAAGCTATAGTCATTGTTCTATTCACGCATAAAACAACAAATGATCATGAACCATGAAATATCCAAAGCTAATCAAAACTTTGAAATGCCAATAAAATCATACGATGGGCTATGACCCAAAACCACATTGGGTAAGGGGAAAATATCAATAAAAGAAAGAAAACAAGTCTGAGGGGGACAGTGCTGATTAAGAAACTTGTACTATGCCATAATCCGAGTCTTCCAGGCTTACTTTGAAGTGACTATGGTGGGGTGTGTGTTGTACTGTCAAGGGCTAAAAAAGTGGACTTTTGTGTGCCTGAACAAGAAGGTCAGGTCACACGTGAAGCTCTCATGGTTGATACGGTTGTTGTTCCTGCTATTCTCGACATCATCTTATGCTACTAATCGTTAATTATTGCTGCCACCAACGTTTGAACTCTATATAAGTAGGTATATTCACCTAAATTATTTAAAAGCTAGTTCATCCGCAAAGCAATAGTACTTAGTTGTAAATTAGTTATTGGTGACGTTACTTCTGCAGATTTGAATATGTTAAGTACTCTAATTGTGGTGTCAACTGCCATAAGCCAGCACGAATGGGTAATAATTTATGCTCAAACAAATATCAGTAGTAAGAAGCATAGTAGTGCATGATTTGTATTCTTACGTGCGTATCAAATCTCCATAAATGGAGTTCCCTCAGGAGAGGAAGGAAGGTAGGATGATGGTGGAGACTGAAGGGTTTCTTGATAGTGAGTTGATGACAGTTAATTAACTGTACGAACAATAATTACTTATCCTAAGCATGTCAGAATTGCTTCCAATGTTTTCAACTAACAACGTGACCAATTCTTGGTTATCTGGCCTGTCACCGTTGGCCTCAGTTTTAAGTTTTACTTAGCTATGAATTGCCATGCAAGTTCGGGGATGAAGTTGTCAGCTTACCAGAGAACCTCAATCTTTGTAGATAAGTTCTCACAGATGCTTCTGATTTTCATAATTCGAATCAGAAGCTAAAAACATTTATCTTCTTGTTTTAATTTACTTAGAATCATTTGAAAACAAGCCCTATATCCTCTATTGGTAGGGAACACAACATGAACAGAGAATTAGCTTGACTTATTCATTATCCTTTTTATTTTTTTACGCATTTATCATCTTAAAGTTTTAGCTTAGATATGTAATTATTCCGACTTGTATATCACAACTCTGAAACTCTCATACGTATCCAGCACAATGGGTCAATACATTGTTGGCACAATGATAGGTCTCATGCCATAACATGGCTCATCGTCATCCTTAACAGTTTTTGCCTGGAAATATCCCAGGTATGCTGTGAAAACCTTGAGATCCGGAAAGGATTTTTAATTGAGCATTATGGAGCGTGGCAGAACTGAAATTACCGTAGTGTGTTTGGATGGCAGATTGCTTGAAATATTATTTAGAAAGGTCACTATAGCACTTTTTTTTGATATGATGTACGTGAAATAAAAAAATAATTAAAAATATAAAAACGTGGTTGAAAAATATTTTTATGACACAAATAAAATAATATTTGAAAAATTTTTGTTTCCGAACACACCAAATTAAGCAAGATGAAATTACTAGTACTAATAGAAAAGCAAGATTAGGATAAGGAGGCAAATAAGAGAAATGCTAAGGAAATTAAAGAAGAAAAAACTGTGTATATGATGTTCCATTTCCTACTAACTCCATTCAATGGATATGGAAATGATGAATGCACACGTATTATAGCTACTTACAATCTTCATTCCAGTGAGGAAGACAGAAATAATTAGTCAATTATCATGCTATCTATATGCCTATTTTTGTAGCTCCAACGAACTACGTATCCATGTTACTACAAAAGGAATAAATTGAGAAAGTGAAATGAAGGGCTGAATTATGCAACAGGAATGATCTTTGGCCTTGGTTAATGTGTGTTTCTGCATGCCTTAGGATAATGGTATGAAATTCAGAATCAGAAAACTGAAGGGACAATCGATTATCTGTAAATTTTCTTTTATACGTCTCCTACCATACAAGAGGATTAATCCGAGTGTGAGTGGAATGATGTACATTACTTTTTATACAGTATAAAATCTGCTTTTGTACTCTCTATTAAACATCATTTATTACTTTTTATATAAAATCTGCTTTTGTACTCTCTATTAAACATCATTTACTCCGCTAGAGAAGTTAAGGTTGAGGACTGCAAAATAATTTACATGCATAAGCAAATTACTATTTTTACAAATTTCATTCTCTCTTGGGATCCACCGATTCCACCATACGCTCTTTCGCCTTTGATTAAGTTCATCAACACTCTCCTTTAATGTCCTTGTGATTTTCTCTGCAGCTTGAGAGCTGATGCAAGAGCATTCCTTTGCGCACTCGACTTCTTTTTAGGTTGTATATCCTGCATAAAGCAGATAGAGAGTTGTAACTCATAGTGTAACTATTTCTAAAATCCATAATATGCAGTTTAGCATATACAAACCCTGAGCTCCTGAAGCTGTGCTTCAGTGAAGCCACCGTCCTGCTCTGTTCCTGACTTTGCCATCAGCCGAACAACCCACTTGAGAGCTTCACTATAGTCTTTTTGTGTCGCTCGATAATATTGCATCCTTAGGTTCTGCATAAAGGACATGGCCAATAGG